GTTTGGTTTTTGCTGTCAAACAACATTTCAAGAATGAGGTCCCAGTCCTCGAATATAAAGTTTGAGCAATGCAAACATGTCCGACTTGGGGAACCCATGAAGCGTTCTCTTTTCGGGGATGGGGGAGCTTTGGATGTCACCCAAGATTGAGGACTGAGTAGCAAAGTTTAGAGCCCAGTATTGAACTAGTTGACTAGTTATATAACCTGGTTTGTAGCGTGTTTTCCATCCTACTTGGTATGATCATTGACAATCCCCATCAACAGTAAGGTGGTCGCGTGGCAATATGATCAAATCCAGCCTAGTTTGTTTAGGTCATATGCTAGATTGTTTCTCATTCCTTTCGGATAAATCATGATAAATCTCAATGTTTGGTAGTTGCATTCGGATTATGTTGGTAAAATCAGTTTATTTGCCAATTGAATCTGTGACGCCCCATGTGTGTGCTGGTGATGCCCGATTGTTGCTGGTAAAATCCAACGATATCTTGATTGTGATGATTGTGTACTGTAAAACCTTTTGTGTGTCCACCATTCCCCACAATTTCTCGCTTAAAATCCATCAAATTTGTTGCTGAACAAAAAACATGCTGGAACCAGACCATGTTGGCTATGACAGTTGGACCTCGGTATCTTGGTGAAACCCATTTTTTTCGCGGTGAAAGGCACCTTTTTCTTCCTTAAAGCACCAGATGTGCAGGAGCACACTCGCTCGGCTCGACCCTGGGACTTTGCTGCGCTTGGGAACCCAACTGGGCAGGCGTCAACAGAAATGACCAATTAAAAGCAATGATATAATTTAATGGTAAATAAGGCTGACAAATACTCCCTATCTTTAGGCGTTATTTCCGTATGTTTTGCTCTGTGAATCTGTTACTTTTGTGTCACCGCCCAACCGGACTAGACTCGTAATTTGCTCTTGATTATCACCCCATTGTTTATCATTAGTTTTTTTTCTTAGTGAATCTGAGATATCGTACATATATTTGCCGGGGCTTTTCGGTGAATCTCTAATCGAATTTCTGACCTATTTCTGACATCAACCTATTTTGGAACATCTGACCAAAAATGTATGAAGTCCATATGAAGTCCATTCTTCATGGTTATCGACCTTTTTTGGTCATCGTTTTTGAAGTTCGTCTGTTTCATTGTGGAATTCTGAGGCCCATCCTGGACCCCATGCTGCAGATCTTGGAAGATGCCCGGATCTGCGGTCCGAGCCCGAGAAAAACCGGGATGTTCCTCGTTGGTTGATGTTAGCCAAGTTGGCTTGTAACCTTTAACTAAAAGTTGGCTTGTAATGATTAAAAAATTGCTAATAGACTATGATATAACCCACATACCAATGATAAAAGTTGCCTTTTTTATGGCTTTTATCTGCGGATTATAGTTATTAGAACCCACAACTATAGAGATTTATATCTATAGTCTATAGTATTTGTTGCGTTTATAAACTACGTGAACAACTATCAACGCGTCATCGTCCTGTAGCGCACCTGCATCCTGTGTGGAAGGGGTGCCAAAAAATGATGTTAAACTCTTTTGCTGGTTGGTGGTTTGGAACATGAATTTTATTTTTCCATAGATTGGGAATAATCATCCCAACTGACTTTCATAAATTTCAGAGGGATTGAAACCAGCAACCAGATTTTGGTGTGTTTTCTTAATTTCTCTCAGCTTCAAACTGAAGTAATGGAATGATATTGAGGCTGAAACTCCCAAGGTTAACTGCAACCTGTATTGTTCAAGTCGGAGTCGGAACCAAGAGGAGGTCTAGAGACCTGTGCCCCCAGATAAAGTCCTACAAAAAGCCTATGGGTGAGGATTTGATTGCAAAGTCATGGATGAGTCTATGGCGCCTTGACCAGAACTATGGCTATAGAATTCTAGAATCTTCCCAGAATTTCACCCGGAATCCCAATCAATTTTAACCACCATCCGGTCAGAATCAGTGGATTTCACCTAGAATCTTACAATTTCACCAGAAAATCCTCCAGAACCTCACATTTTTTTAATGATTTGATCAGAAAACTTTACACCAGACCCTTCAAATACATCCAGGATCCTAATCCAGGCCTTGTGCAACACAGGGCCTTGCAGCAGGACGTGAACAGCTGCAGTTCCAGCGCAGTTCCGACCACCTGGGATCCATGATGAATTTCCATGAGCATGTAGAATCTCCAATTAAAATAGCTATTGAAAATGGTCATTTATAGTTGATTTATATACCCATTAAAAATTGATAAAATGGTGAATCTTTCCATAGTTATGTTAAACGTTTATCAAAGGGTATGGTTTGTGGTACTTATAACATCTTACAAGGTGGTGCCCCCCAGTGATGTGAACGTTGGTTAGCAGAAACAATAGGAATAGTATGTCAATATATCTACCATAAACCAGCTCGTGAGTCATTGGAGTTATTAACAAACCAACTTAGCTAGCGATTCCGAACTGGGGCACCACCTTGTAGCAAGTTAGCATGTTATTTTCAGTTGATGATCATCCCCATTGTCCCTATGACAATCCCTATTTTTGATGATTAGGTCGAATCACATTATGATCCCATGGTTGGGATCTTAAAAAAATCTTGGTCTTACACCCCAATTTGGTTGGTTGAATCACCTTTTATCATTCCAGGGTTTGCTATATTCAATGGACTGGTTTGAGGGAACATCTTAACCGGAAACCAACCGGAAACCTTCATTTTTTTCCATTAAATCTGGGGCTTTCCGATATGTTTTCCGTTAAACCAATCCATTGATATACATCCCACCATGCTCGTATTCTATTTTTCTCAGGACCCTCCAGTAAACTAACTAGCTATGGAACATCACCATGTTTGGTAAAACATCGAACTAAATGCGCCCTGGCTTCCATACCCATATGCTCCATGTATGGTATATTTACCTACATTTGGGTGATTATTAGGGCAAATGTAGGTAAATATACCATACATGGAGCATATGGGATAGCGAACTGTTATATAGTTTACCAGACAGTTCCGGCCCGAAATACCAATTATAAATGGTGAAATCATTGGTTATTTCCGTGGGATTATACATTCCATACAATTTTTTAAATGTACTTGTAACATCTTATAACTGGCATTTGGGGCCATAACTGGAGGCTATTCTCAGCTGAACATCCATCCCCTCCGAAATTCATCGGCGAAAAGGTGCGGAGACTTCCCTGCGGCGTAAGGCGGCAAATCACCAACTGAAACTGATGGGATTTACCCTCTGTTAAATGAACATAGACCCTGAAAAACACAATTTTTAGTGGAAACTAATCTTCCAACCCCTATCTGCCAGGGACTGTTAATTTACCAGAGGGTACTGGGTTCATTGTAGATCACGAAAAAGGATGGGGCCCCCGAGTCGAGCGATCGCGTTCAGTTGAGATTCATTTCTGTGGCTGAATGAATTCTTTGGTTTATGGTAGATATAACGAACTAGTTAATGGGCTTTATAAACCATCAAACATCACTTGTATGGTACTGGTAAAATGAGTCGTTTGACTTTCAGGGAAACGTCTCGGATCTTGGTGAACCAATCTGATTAGATATCGATAAATATACATATACATATATATATACCCTCTGGTAATTTAACATAGCTATGGAAAATCACCATTTTCAATGGGTAAATCAACTATAAATGGGCCATTCTCAAATGCTATGTTAAATTACCGGAGGGTATATATCTCGATAATCATGGCTTGCATTTTCACATATTTTCACCACGGGAATTGGGGCCTGACGCTATAGGTTAATAGATCTTGATGGGAACTCAACATGATTTGACTATTTATTTGACCAAGAAAGTATACGGCAAATAAATCATCCAGAAACGAGGGAAAGGCTGGGGTTTACTAAACAACTCATGGACGGGAATTGATCAGCAGATCAGCTCTCGCCTCGGGGGACAGGTCCCATCACATCAAGCCCGGAATCATGGCCGTCATGGGGCTGTCTCACCATGTCGAAAATGACCACGAGCATACATGTATTAATGTAACCCCGGATTAATAAACCATGGTTTATTAATTAGGGGGGTACTCCTCCAATAGTCATAATCCAATACTTAAATGGTACCCTTCAACAATCTAGGGGTTTATTAATCCAGGGTTGACATTACATACATTACATGTATCACATGTATTACGCGCGCCATCTACACTACGTTCATGCGAGCATGCATACATACAATCATGCAGCCATGAGAATACAAAAATTACAGATATCTGTTCCAAACTGTACATGTTCATGCATACAGGTCATGGAATTGGAATAAAGCTGCGACCAAACCCTGTAAATTTACAGGCGGTATGGGAAATGATTGAGGCAAAAAGTGACATTCTGTGGTCAACAGTTGACATTTTCTCGTACGCAGACGATAGTGACGATACTAAAGATAGAACTGCGCCTAAACGTTTGAAACTCTAAAAATCATGAATTTTATCTGTTTTCCGGCCCAGAGCTATGTTCATGAGTGTTCATTGCATGATTGGTCCATGTTCTAAAGAAAGCCTTTGGCTATATAGAAGGCCAATCTTGTCCTTTTTGGCAGCACCTTGCATTTTGCTTCGCTAAGGCCACTGAACATCAAAACCAAATTTAGCTGGGTCTTCCCACAAATTCTTCCCACAAATTGCCAATAGATAAAGGTTTGCATTGAGGTGGTCATCTGGTTGGTGGTTTGGAACATTTGGATTATTTTTCCATTGGGAATGTCATAATCCCAACTGACGAAGTCACATTTTTCAGAGGGATTCAAACCACCAACCAGATATTATTAACCATCATTAACCGTATAATAACCATTAATATTAACCATGCTTTTAACCAGGTATATTAACCAACCAGGATGGTAGGTATACCATGATTTTCCCATTAAAAATGGTCCATTCATAGAAGATTTTCCATGATTTTCCCATTAAAAATGGCCACCAACCAGTCATTGTTGTTACCCCTAGCAACCTTGCATGATCCGTTGCGTCCAGGCCGAATCGCTGCTGTTCACCGCGGTCATTCGATGCATTGAGGTGCGATAAGTCATCGAGGAATCGAGTCGAGTTGTAGGGAAGCAGTGTTTTTTATTTCGGGATGTCATGGACATATCCCATAGGTGTTTTTTAGATGGCCATGGGGCATGGGATTTCACTGAAGGATCATCCCATTTAAAAAATACCCTCTGGTAAACGTTTACAGTTTGCTATTGAAAATTGCCATTTATAGTGAGTTTTCCCATTAAAAAATGTGATTTTCCGGTTCGTCATGTTAGTTTACCAGAGGGTATCCCATATATATGCTCCATGTATAGAATATTTACCAACATTGGCCCTAACCCAGTCATGTAGGTAAATATACCAACACCATGGAGCATATTGGTATGGGAAAGGGTCAACATTTAAGATTCAGGGGACCACAGCCACAGACTTTATTCTATTAACTTGTATATTCACAATCTATTTTAGGGATACCCAATTTCCATACCCAGATATACCCACTGGTAAACTAACATAACTATAGAAAATCACCATTTTCAATGGGTAAATCCACTATAGATGGGCCATTTTCAATAGCTATGTTAGTTTACCAGCGGGTAATCCAACAACAAATAAATTGAGTGTAGCTTGACCGCAGATTCACCGAAGAGTTGGGCGAGTTGGATGCACCTGGGCTCACCTGCCCCCTGCTCTCGGATGAAAGGACTCGTTAGACACATTGAATTTGATGAGAAACTTACTGGTGCGTTTTACGTAGGGTTGCTGGATGGGTTGCTGGGGGTTGCTGGGATTATTACATAATTTACATAATAGTTATTGCGGATCATTCCCTCAATCCCTAGTAAGCACCAGTAAGAAGCACATCCCATCCATGCAAGACAGGAAGCCAACGACTGTTGTTCCCCACTGCCCAATCCATGGCATGCTATGTTTACATAAATTTTGTTGAGCTCAAGGTCCCTGGGTGTAGATGCATGTGGGTTGCGTATAGCCATGCATTTTTCTTGTTATGTGTGTTTGTGTGTGTGTGTGTTATACATTGTTATAGATTTAGATGGGCTTGCCATCCCTCTAAAAGTCAAACTTGTAGCCCAAGCAGTTGACGAGGGGGTCTTTGGCACCGCCTTGTGGCACATCACTTTGGGAGCCGCGACTCCGCTGTCCAGGCTTCAACAATGGACCCGCTGGCGAGCAAAACATCGTCAAACCGGGAAGTACGACTTGAAAAAGGTGGCAGCTGGTGCATTTTCTTCCTACGTGTCAAGTGGTGCCTTTCACGCTGCAGCCGAGCTCATCGCGGAGGCGGCGGTGTCAGAAGCCGATGTCCAGAGGGCTTTCTGCAAGATCGGCGTGCACTCACCTTTTTTATCCTATGTGATGTTCCGGGATGTCCAAATCTTTCACCCGCACCTGCCAGATTCTGATTTTGTGGGCGATGGCGCAGCGGACTGCTTGGATGAGATCCAGACTGGAGATGAAGATCCATCGACACGGCTGCAGAAGCTCACAGAGCGCATTGAGGCTGAGTTCCCGCCGGAGGAGATATTCTTAAGTTGTAACGTTGGGTAGCTCATTTTGGCCTTGATTGTTTTGTCATATTTGCCTGTTTCCCCAAGTAAGAATAGACTACCCAGCTATAACGAGGTTACTCCAATGTTACTCCCAGTTACTTGGTATCCAAGGTATAGCACTCTATGTTTGTACAGGTCGTGGTTCCCCACCTTCCAGACGTATTCAGGGTCTGGATTTGGGGCCTGGATATTTTTTTGGGGGATGTATAGCGTGGGTAAACTTACAAAAAGATGTGGAAGGCCTATCTACCTACCTACCTATCTATCTATCTATCTACCTATCTATCTATCTATTTTTCTATCTATCTATCTATCTATCGATCTATCTATTTATCTATCTATCTAATCTATCTAATCTATCTAATCTATCTAATCTATCTAATCTATCTAATCTATCTAATCTATCTAATCTATCTATCTATCTAATCTATCTATCTATCTATCTATCTATCTATCTATCTATCTATCTATCTATCTATCTATCTATCTATCGATCTATCCATCTATCTATCTATCTATCTAACTATCTATCTATCTATCTATCTTATCTTACCTTATCTTATCTTATCTTATCTTATCTTATCTATCTATCTATCTATCTATTTCTCATATATATATTAACATGGTTTCCCAAGGAAAATGGTCTAATGGTTGGTTTTCCATATCTATGATCCTTTACAGGAGAGTAAGCATGTTTTTACCACACATGTTTGGTTCCATCGAGTTGGGTGCTGACCCAGTGTGAGGATTGTCTCACAACTATTTGCTTGAATTTTGACGGCATCATTTTTCTTACCCGTTCGACCGAATTCCCTTTCTTGAGCACATGCATCATCATTTTTTTTAGCTTTCCGAAGTGCAACCAATACTACCCAAATCATGGGAAGCTGAGTAGCTGGGGTGACAAAATCACTTTAAACAATTTTGCATTCGGTTTGCCAAGGTTTGAATCCACAGTTTGTGTCCAAGATTACTCATGCAGTCATGCAACGCCTTTCCAGTAACATTATAAATCCGCCCCAAAGGAAAGCCTTGTATTTCGATGTATTTCGAACATTTTGGTGCGCATTTCTGATTAGGTGGATGGATTGCTGTGCTAAATATGCCCTTTTGCTACCTCTATGCCATCACTGAAAGGTGGTGCCCCAGTGATGTGAACGTTGGTTTATAAACCATAGGAATAGTATAGATATATCTACACTAAACCATAGTTATTGGAGTTATTTGCACCAACTTAGCTATCATAAATCAGCTATAATTCCCATTGAAACCCCATATCATTTATGTTGGTTAAATCACCATGTCCTTATGGTTTTCCCATGGATATCTGATATCTCTGGTGGGCACCACCTTGTGTGCCACACACACGCACACACTTGCTCAGACGCCCATGCCATGTTTGCCTGCGTGCCGGGACAGGCCGCCTTGGCTAGCGAAGTCGAAAGAGGTGCGAGTGGAGAAAGCAGGGAAATGGATCATTGCCAAGGTTAGAGTTATGGGATTTACAATAGTTATAGCACAAGAATTGTTAGATTATAATTTATATATACAAATTTTTAAATGGGATTTACAATATATGGCAGATATATCTCCATAGTTAATCAATGTTAATGAGCTTTGCAACCAACACACATCATTAACTCAGGGGCAAAGTACCTTGTCACGAGAAATGATATGCAGACCGACTCGATCCCTCGATTTTTACCCAGGACAATGAGGACATCGTTTCCTTCAACTATAGCAACACCAAAAAGATAGAACGCTTATTTTACCATGATTTGTTGTTTGGATTTTACTTTGTTGTTTGTTCTATCTTTTTTTGTGGGGTGCTATATGTTGCTATGTAAATTGGGATTCAACTTTGTTGAAGCTGGTGGCTTACCCTGGCCCAAAGATAGGGATCTTGCCAGCGTGGAGGCGAGTTCCTCAAAGCTGCCTTGGACATCGCGGATGCTGCGTTGAACGTCTGCGAACTGCAGGAGGGCAGCCGGGCAGCCTATTTTTGTTGGCAGTAAATCTGGGATCAATGAATAAATACTAAGCCGACCAATGTTTGGAACTAGGAAGTGTTCCAAATCACAAGGTATGGGAATGTGAATTATTCAATTTTGTACTAAAAATTGCCAGTTTCTTGGATATACCAACTGAATTCTTAATCTAATTACAAATTAATCCATGACTAAGGGATTAAAAAAAAACATGATTATGCGATTAATCCCATTTTTGCAACTTAAAAAAATATATGTTGATCCCTGTTTTTTGAACGTATTTTGACCACCCATCCCTGTTTGGGCCATCTCCGAGTCCTATCGCAGGACACCAGCGAAGTCATGGCGGTGTATCAACAAGCTGAAAAAGAGGCTTCCTCGGCCAAAACGTGATGCACCCTATGGGGCCAAGCAGCCAAACCCAACATAGATGTGGACAATCCAGCATTTGTAGATCATTTTCCTAGGCAAACCATTGTTTTTCCACATCCATGTTAGTTTACCCTAGGGTAACCTGTTGAAAATCACAATGTTTGATAGGTAGATCATCTATAAATCATCTATAAATGGGCAATTTTTTGTGGCTATGTTGAATAACAAAAGGCTTATTCAAAAACTGTCACAAGCACAAACTTGGAGTTTTAATCCGTTCCCCCCAATACTAAACCTCCCACCACCCCCCAAATAATAAACATCTCAGGTAATTTTTATTATTTGGGGGTATTTATTATTAGACTGCGAAGCTTCCCCCTAATACTAAATTAAAAACCAAAACATAAAAAGCTATGTTTGTTCTATTCAAGGTCGATTAGATTAGATTTCCTTTTGAAATCTAATTAAAAATATTGCCAAAATTTGGATTTCGAAGCTTTCCCCTAGTATTAAATTAATAACCTTAGTATAAAATATGTTTTTCTTTCGGCCTTAAGAAAGGGATCCTAATCCTAATAAAAAACTTCCGGGGGTTGACTAGTTTTTATTACTAGGGGGTGAAACCCTGAAATGGTAGCTTAATTCTTACATTGTTTTCAAAAGGGGATCAACTAAAAATCAAATTGGCCAACCTCAAATTTTCCAAAATTGGAGATGGGCCCTAGTTCTTAATTATTATTTGGGGGCGGTTTAGTAATAGGGGGAAGGGATTAATGGTGATACAATGATGGCTTAAGCTTGTTTAATAGTGATAAATCATAGTGGGATATTAATGAAAGATCATTCCTACATGTTGAAGACTAAAACCTGGGGAATTTAATGTCATATACATGAGGACTTTTGTTTACCATGAAAATAAGTTTGTTCATTGGATTTTTAATCCACGTTAAATGTGATTTCCGCCCGGAAAGCTAACACAGAAAGGATCCAAATGATTTTGGGAAAAAAACTTGTCAAGAAGATTACTCTATATAGTATATACTGTTTATATTTTTATATATATATATATACATAAGCCTTATGAATGTTTAATAATAATAAAATAATAATGATAATAATGAGAGAGATTTATATATATATGAAAAGCTTCTGATTTCCATCGTGCTTAATTTGGGTTTATTCTGAAATTTATTCTAGTTATAATTCGACTTAGATGGGTTTTTTACACTATTTTACACCTAAAGGGATCCACCTTCTAGGGGTTGAGCGCCAGCCAAGTGATTCTTACTAAAAACGCGGACAGATTGATTGTGCCTCAAAGTCGCAATTGAATGGGTAAAATGGGTTTGTCCAAACAGAAATAGGGTGCACTCATAAATCCACTGTTTGATCATCTTTATCCCTCTTTAATTGTAATTTTGGTGGGCAGTCTGCACAGATTCCGCTACCGAGACTTGCGCCAGATGCCGCAAGTTTGCTGATGACTACCTATCGAGGAAGTCACTATCCTTGTGGCCTTGATGACTCGAGCGATTGTGACTGACCAGGCGCACGATGCCTTTGAGATGGCAAGGGACAGGATGCCCGTGCCGAGGACCGGTTGGACATTCATTTTGCTTCGTTGGGGCCATCTCTGTGGCTTGTGCAAGTACAGTTTTGGTCAGTGCACAGTGCATTGACTACGGCTTTTGCGAGTTTTTCGACCGCGCAATTTTTGCCAAAAAAATGCTATTCAATATTTGTTATATATGATATTTATATATATATATATGATATATATATATGTGTGTGTCTGCATTATATATCTGATTTGTGTAGATGTTAGTCTATGTTATGATAATTTATATAATACCCGTAATATAACACATATGCAATCCTGATCTGTGATGGCCAGGTCTTCCGCTCCACCCCGCGGTGCCTGCCGCAGACCTCTCCGCAGTTCCACGCCGCGGTGCGGCAGGGCGACGTGACCTGGGTGGCAAACGCTTGGGGCCACCCGAAAGCTTCGTGACTTCACTATCCCATATGCTCCATGTATAGTATATTTACCTACAAAACTGGGCCATAAAAATTGGGTTTCTATGTTGGTAAATATCTCAGCACCATGGAGCATATGGGTATAAGTGGCTTAACTATGGTTTATGATTTCTCCTCGACCATGTCTGCATCAACTTCCACCTCAACTTCCGCCTTGCCAACTCTTCGCCAAGCTCTTCGCCAACTTCCCAGCTCAGTGCTCACTGCTGGACCTCAACCTGGGACAATCCCAGCTCAGTGTGCACCGCTGGACCTCAACCTGGGACCTTCCCAGCTCAGTGTGCACCGCTGGACCTCAACCTGGGACCTGCCCAGCTCAGTGTGCACCGCTGGACCTCAACCTGGGACCTTCCCAGCTCAGTGTGCACCGCTGGACCTCAACCTGGGACCTGCCCAGCTCAGTAGAATGCCAGAAGATATGCCAGATAGAGTGCCAGAAGATATGCCAGATAGAATGTTAGAAGATATGCCAGATAGAGTGCCAGAAGATATGCCAGATAGAATGTTAGAAGATATGCCAGATAGAATGCCAGATAAAATGTCAGATAGAATGCCAGAAGATATGCCAGATAAAGTGCCAGAATGTTTGCCAGATAGAACG